CCATGATGACATTTTTATTGCTAGCCTCTCTCTGTTTGCCCCGTCTCCAGAACCATCCTTCATGGCATAAAACAAAAGGAAAATTTATGCATAGCAAAGAATTTTTTAATTAAATTTCACACTCAAACGCACTCATTCTCTCTGGCTCTCTCTCTCTCTCTCTGTCTGTCTCTCTACCAACTCAGTGAAACAGTGAGGGACAAGGGACGGGGACAGGGACACTGGTAACCCGAAAAACTTTTGCCGAAACCCCCAATCTTGAGGGAGCTGTCAGCGATTTCTGAACACTTCATCGGCTTACAGTCAGCCGCCACAAAAAAGAGTGCCGCAAAACGATCTGTCAAATTGTGACAGCTTACAATGTGTTCGACACACAGTCGGAATGAGGCATGCAACAGGGTCGCCTCGAATCGGGGATCGCCATGGATCGCATCGGTGTGACTGGGGTGTTAATTAACTCGCCCTTAAAGCATAAATCAAAAATTATGCGACGCTTCTTTCACAATTCCCACTCCTCCTCACTCACTGCTGGTTTTTGCGTTATATTTTTTTTGGCTGGTATTTGTCTGGAACCCTTTGGCTCAAGTCAAGCGCAAAAGTGCAGCTCATCCACAATGCGTACAAACAAAAAAAAGTGCAACCTCACTTTGGAGTCATAATCGATCATGGGAGAGCAGCAGCAGCAGCATCAGCAGCAGCAGCAGATTCCAGGGAGCGTAGCACATGTGCTGTTGGCTGGGCTGTCACATTTTTACAGCAATTATAATGCCATGTGAGGGATACCCTTACCCCACACACACTCACACACACACATGTGTTACAGTTTAACCCTCAGATGGGGCAACTCTTTAGGCAACGATCAATCATAAAAAAAGCATTCATTCCGCATACAATATTTCATTTTTTCTTTGTTTGTTTGTTGTTGGCTGGGGGGGTGTGTTAGTACGAGTTTATGCTGGATTCGGTTGTTCTTTTGACATTTTAAATGCTGATGGCGAATAATAAAGAGTGAATATTTCAAAAGTAATAATGAATTCTTGTGGGTTGTGCTAGGGGTCCCTCTGGGGCCAAATAAATCAGCAACGGAAATGTTGATACCATTTTTATAATACAAGTTTAACAATTAATTATAATCGAAAGAGTTCTATGCAGACATACAATATGGGGGTTCCGTATGATCTTCATTTATGTGGCTGCTTCCACTTTGTGGCTTGGAACTGTGTCAATTGTGCCACAAGCACAAACATGTTCTTGTGCATGCCCCTGTCTAGTGTGGTCACTCTCTCACTCTCTCACTCTCTCACTCATTCAGTCACTTTCTCCACTCTGTGTGGCATTCTCGTTGCACAAATTTTGTTCACACGCACAGAACGCAGAGAAATCATCAATGAAAATATTTCTTTTCCCACATCATAGACGCAAATCCTGTCCTGCAGCTGCTCCTCCTGTCCTCCTTCCGTGGCATATTCTGCAGCC